GCTTTGTGCTTGATGCAACGGCTGAAGACTTTCGCGACAAGGTGCTGCAGCTTGGAACTCGCGCGGAAAAAGCCGTTCTGACATTCCTGGACGATCACGGCATCAGCTCTCGAGGCTCAGGCGCGGTCTTGAAACACGTTCGCACTCTCCATCGCGCTGATACGCTCAACGCCAAGATGAGCGCCATGAACACAGCTTCCTTAATCTGCTGCTATCTGCGACCCTGCTCCTGGATACACGCAAAACGTACTCGAACAGATTAGCGGTTAATCCCAGCCACAATACACGTTAGATAACCGATGTACAGCACGCATGAAATACGCTTCAAAACACACACGCACATACACATACACACAGCTTCGCCCACTCAAGGTTACGTGTCAGCACACGTCAACATGGCGCTGCCGCTTCACTTGGGACCTGCCACATACACACTGCTAGCACACCCAGAAAGCAATCACAAAAAATACCTCAGGTGGGAATCGGACCCAACTCCACCACTTAGCTACTGAGGTGGAGGTAAGTACAAATTAAGACAGGGATACTCTTTGAAGGCCCGATGTAGAATTAACCCACCACAGTTCTTCGTGGCGGGCGACAACCCTGCTGGCCGCACCGGGTTCGGCACGGTCCCTTCAATTCACCCTCCTGGGTGGTCACTCGGGCACCGACATGCGTTGACTCGTTTCGGCTCCTCGACTGGACGTGAAAGCCAATCATTCTTATAACGTAATTACCTTTTTACGTCTTTTTACGCAATTACAACAAAATTGTATGACCATACTTTCTCCTGTTAATCTACTTGCTTTTGTATTGCATACAAATCCACACACAGCGTCGGAAATGTCGGAAGTCGGATAAATTTTGGTATGGAAGACCTTTGCCCTAATCTGCCTTTCTCACACTTTGGCCAATCGGGCAGGACCTAAGAAAGAGAGGTTAGGGTTTTATCTATGATTTGCTGTGGTGATCGTAGCGATTTAAATCATGGGCATCCGTTTCCTTAAGTCCTACGCAAGAGCTTCGATCTTACGTTAGAGGGCCGACTTACAAATAAGATACGAATGGCCATCATTTCTTGGCCATTTCCTCGTACGTAGGCCCTCCGCTGGAGGACGACATGGGAGGGTCCATATAATGAGAACTGGCTTTCAAGCCACCGTCAGTATTCATGACGCAATATCTAGTTCGACAAGATAGCTATTTCAAAATACAGGGCGCCCTCGGTAAATCTCCAAGTTTTTCGAATTTCAGCTTCCAACGCTTGTAGGACTAAAATGACGATAGTGTTGACTGTGGTAGATAGCCTTGTTTCTCAAAGTTTGATGACTTCTTATCACACTCCACCGAAGTACGTAGTAGTTTTGGTTTAGGTAATTCAGTTCAATGTGCTTGTTTTTTTTAACAGAAGAAATAGTTCTTCTTGGAATCACCAGTGTTTTCTTTAAATATTTTTTTTGAGAAGAGATCCTATGCAAAATCATACGGATTGGTCGTTTCTGTAAACTACATCTCATAAATTTTTCCATCGAGTAGGTCTTGTTGCTCCCCGTTGACATCGAGCATTCGGGTTTCTGCACCTTCACGTAAGCCACAGTTCTCATTGCCCGTACCTCCTTGTTGTCAATCTTTGATGCAGAAGATGCTGTTGAGATCGACTTGCCGTTTTGACCAGCATCGCATGGTCTAGTCGCAACAAACACAATTGTACTCGTTCCGTCCTGGCACACGCGTTCCATGGGTAGATCCCGTCTTCATCCGCAGCATCGATAGCAACGCTTTTAATTCGCTTACCACCAAATTGATCATCACTAGCATGCTAGTGGAAACCTTAATTGTTTCAACTTATTGAAGACCAATCTGCATCGTGCGTCCCTAAGACCCCCCCCCCCC